CGCTGATGCCACCCTTCGGAACAATTCAGTATAAAAGCTCATTGCATCATTTATATCGTAAATTAAGGCTTGAAAATTTTGACCTGATGTTTTTGAGAGTCTTAGGAAAAACTTAAAAAAAAAAAAATAAGAAAATCGACATTTTGGACCCCGAACCGGTTTTTTTTTGCTGTGCTAAGCGACTTAAATTTTCATCTTGAGGCACATTTTGCTTGACTCCATCCCGAATGAACAAAGGCTGATTTTTTGTGTTGCAGTACACGGAAAAAAGAGGTAGGGGTTAAGTCCCAACTTGGACATTTCCCATTGATTGCGGTAGTGGCCCAACAAATGTTGCGTTACTACCAAAATTAATTGGAAACGTTGATATCATCCAAGAAAGTGGGGCAGTGCACAATTTTAGGGGATAACCCTTAACACTTTTATCTCCGTATAACGTGTGGTATTCCGCCGTGCTAAGGAAAAACGCCGTATGAACATTTGAGAGTTGCCGAATTTCTTCCGATAAAGTTTCCACTTTCAAGCAAGGTTATGAATATTTTTCATCGAAATTTTCAGATAGTTAATCACGAACGAAATTCTATCTGAAAAATTGGAAGAAAAATATTCTCACATTTTCCCGGATATTCATGATTTGTCAGTGGAAATTTGGCAACGTCTGAGGGCTCATACGGCGTTTTTCCTTGGCAAGGCAGCATTAGGTACTTGGTGTAATTAATTGTGGTAGGCCTAAGAACACAAGGAGAATAACACTGCCGTGCTAAGCAAAAACGCCGCAAATTCATTAAGATTTTCCCTCGTTTTTTGGAACTGAACACTTTACAAAATAAAAACTGTTTTACATATACACCTCAAATTTTCAGATTAAGTCCTTGATAGTATTTGCGAAAGAATTCTGTAAAAACATTATCCCAAGGTACACAAGTTTTTCTGCTATGATACATCGTTACCAAAAAAATGTAAAATGGCGTTTACGGCGTTTTTGCGTTGCACGGCAGAGTTGGAGTCGGCTGCATTACACTGAATCTAACACACCAACCGCACTGTAACGCGTCAACCAAGGCCAAAACGCATCGAAAAGTCATTAATCACGACTGGAGGGTAAAAACTCGGTTATTTCGATGTTGGGTGGAATTCCGAGTCTGGGACGCGCGACGCCGAGAGAGTTTCACGACCCCGGACAACTGGGCGAAAAACAAACGGATTCACACGGCGACCGACACCGGTTTTCGGGGACTCGGGACGGCGGCCCTCGCGCGGAAAAGTCGCGGCGAATCGATGAGAGCCCGATTTTGAACTTGGTGTTGCCACCTCATTTTCCGATCGGCGGGCAAGAGCCAAGGTAGGCGCGTGCGAAAAATAAATCGAGACAGTGAAATGGTGAAATGGTGAAAAATCCGGTAAAAATAGCCGGGCGGACTTTGAGGCGGGGATGAGCCCCCGATGCCCCGAGATACGGGCGCGAGGCGAGGTCTAATTTTAGCGCCCCGCGAGGCGCATCCCGTTCATCCGGCGCGCGAGACAAGGCCGCCGGAATTGGGCCACAGCCGCCGAGTGCAGTTCATCTTTCTCCTCGCCAAAACCGAGAGTGAAAGGTGCCTCGCGAGGGTGCCAACCTCAAGGGCGGGACTCTCGCCAGGCAAATCCCGACTCTGAAAATCCACAGTGTCTACCGGTAATAAAAAACCAAAATTGGGGACTTTCGGGGACTTTCAGTGGTGTTTTTTCGAGAAACCGAGAGTGAAAGGTGCCCCGCGAGGGTGCCAACCTCAAGGGCGGGATTCTCGCCAGGCAAATCCCGACTCTGAAAATCCACAGTGTCTACCGGTAATAAAAAACCAAAATTGGGGACTTTCGGGGACTTTCAGGGGTGTTTTTTCGAGAAACCGAGAGTGAAAGGTGCCTCGCGAGGGTGCCAACCTCAAGGGCGGGATTCTCGCCACGCAAATGCCCACTCTGAATATCCAGAGTGTTTACCAGTAATAGAAACCCAAAATTGGGGACTTTCGGGGACTTTTAGGGGTGTTTTTTTTTTTTTTTTTTAAAAAAAATCGGGGACTTTTTCCCCCGAAATAGTGAGCAGGGTGTCTTAGTATTTTTTTATTTTGAAAAATCCCGATATCTTCCTGATTTTTCCTGATATTTTATAAAAAATCCCTGATTTTTTCATTTTGAAAATTCCTGATATTTTCCTGATTTTTCTCGACTCCTGGTACGGTAGGCAAGCAAGGTAGGAGCTAGTCAGAGCGTTAAAAGGCGTATTTCATACGACTAATTTTACAAATCATGTTGAACCGATGAAAATATACGAAAGACCAAGCAAAATTTCAGTTTTTTCATTCCTGGTTATACCGCGCCGCCACGGCTGGAGGGAAAATTTGAAAATGTCGGTGTTTAGGACGATTTTTGTCATTTTTTGGGGACCGGTAGACACCCTGAAATGAACTTTTGCGGCGTTGCAAATTTGCTATGCACCCAAGCTTTACTGGATACCACCTCTTCTAATGTCATTTCGATCTCTAGACGAGGGAAAGGGAAGTCAAGCTATCTAAAGGGATAGCGTCATCACTGGGGCCGCTGGCGTTGGGCTAAAATGCAAGTGAGTGGGCGTTTGGGCACATGGTATTTTAATGCAGGTCGTTTCGCACGTTTTGGTGCTTCCGCGAGGCGGATGATCGGATTACACGGAGTAACCGTGCGGGGATGCAACCAGATGCCTCCTTCAAATCTATTTCAATCGATTTCCTCGCTCCGAATGCACTGTTCTCACTTGAATCAGCCCGAATGCACTCAACCGTAAACAATGGTCGAACAACTATTTTTTGGGTTAAACATTTTTTTTCTTTGATTTAAAAACAAATCTCCTTCACTTAGAGAAATTTCCTCCAAGCAATAACCATTTTTTTCATTTGAAACTGCAGAAATCCGAAAATCGGTTGCGCCGTTTCGAAATCTCTGCTTCTATTTTATTTTTTAAAAGGAGATCGAACCAACATCATGCCTTGACATTTTTGCAGAGTATTCTTCACATTGGGAAGAAAAATTATCGAAGTTTCCAAGGAATGAAGTTCACTAGTTTTCCACGAAGAGAACGAAGTATGACAGGAAATCTGCAAAGCCGCAAATCGACGCATTTCTGCAGTTTCACCACCGACAGTACTGCCGTGCTAAGGAAGAACGCCGTATGAACATTCGAGCGTTGCCAAATTTTCTTCGATAAAATGTTTATATATGAGGAACATTATGAAGATTTTTCCTTGAAATTTTCAGGATTTTTAGATGAGATTGCGAACAAAATTATCTGAAAAATTGGAGGGATAATATTCATAAGTTCACCAGGATATTCGTGTTTTATCAAAGGAAATTTGGCAACGCCTGAAGGTTCATACGGCGTTCTTCCTTGGCACGGCAGTGTACGTCGATGCATCAACAGGGAAAAATAAGTGGATAAAAGAATCAAACCTAGAAGCTAACTATTCGTACACCTTTGTTGATTTTTTTGCCTACTCTGTCATTTGAAGGCACTTCACCCTCTGGTGGCAATTAAATCATCAAAGTTGTCGATTGGATCGCTGATTCTTGACAGTTGCACTAGACGCCTTTGACGACTACGTCGACAACCGTTTCATCACTGCGCAATTTGGAAACCGATGGTGTAACGCAAGGTGAGCCTTGATTGGACTGCCAAAAGTTTGGTCCGAAGACTCAAGACCGTATCTTTGGTCACACCTTAATCAGATGCTTTCTTAAAGGAGGCTGCATGTGGTTTAAATTGCGAGTATTAAAATTTACAAAATTATTTTCCTTTAAAATAACAAATTTTTGGTGGACAGAAAAAAATATTTGCTACTCTGAGAGATTTTTTCGATAATTATGAAGACACAACATTTTTAGAACACTATAATCGCGCCGCGATCCTTTGTGCTAAATGCGATCCAGCTTCCTATACAATAAATGGATTGCATTTTGCAAAATGGAACCACAAGCATTCCAATATCGCTAGGATTGTGCACCTCACGTCCTTTGCAATAAAATTACTAAAGTCATGCAAAAACTTTTTACCAACGTATTTTTCGCCTTGAATTTTTAGTTTCTTGGGAGTACAGATAAAATTTGTTGAGATGACCGGTTAATATTTGCAAAGTAAAAAAAGTTGCACAATCTTAGCGTAATTGGAATGCTCTTGGTTCCTTTTGGCAAAATGCAATCCAAATGGTGTATGACAAGAAGTCTGCAACGTCGCGAACCGAGATACCAGTGGCGTGGCGTGAATTGCGATATATCGATTGTTATGCCATTTAAACCTATGGTAAAGAATCGATTGTTAAGGTGTTCGCTGCAAACACCCTGTTTATTTATCATTTTCCATAGGTTTAAATGGCATAACAATCGATATATCGCAAAGCACGCCACGCCACTGCGAGATACGTGGTTTGGGAGTTTCACAGTCGACATGGAAGGCCTTGTCTCCACGAGCCGTTTCGCGAGATTTGTCCCAGGGAAAAATCCCACTTACGAAGTTGGGAAAAATGTTGAGTTAACCAATATTTTTCCCAGTACCAAGTATGGTACTTGTACCCCTCGGATCCACTGAGAGAAGAAGAAGAAGTGAAAACGAATTGTGCGATATTTTATTCATTACTACATTGTTCATGTTTGTTTAGTTAAAATAATGTGTCTAATTGTCAATTGAGTGCATTTATTATTTTAATCCCGGTTAAATACTCGACTTTAACTAATTTATCTTCCCGCGCAAACTAGTCGCAGGACTGAATGAGCCCCGTCCCGTGGAGACGGTAACTGGGAAAAATCCCAGAAGTTTCATTCCTGCGATTCGAACTTGGGAAAAATCCCATGAAAACGCCCCGTGGAGACAAGGCCTAAGAACTCCGTTGCTCGGTGCTCGGTTCGTTCCTTGCGATAAACAATTGAGTCAATTGTGTAACGTAAACATGCCGGATGGACGGAGCGGAGTGGAAGGAATATTAAACTTAACTTACATTCCATCCGATGTTCTGGATGAAGAGGGATCTGGCCTCCCTCTCGGCAGCCTCGGGCGTCGCTGACTCATCGCCGGCGGATTCCTCCGAGTCGTCCGATTCTTGTGCGTCGGCGGCGTCGGCGTCGGCGTCGTGCCCGTTGACCCCCGGAGCCCCGACCCCCGCGCCAGCTTCCGGTTCAGCCGCCGAATCCTGCAGACCCTGACCGAACCTCTCGAAGAACCCTCCATCCAGCTCCTGGAATCTGCAACAACAAGAACGAAATTTTACACACTGAAAAAAATACTCCGGCCGTGGAAACTGAACTTACGGGCTATAAAGACATACCGTCCGCGTTCCGGACTCAAAAAAAAAAATGAAAAGATTTTCAAACCCGCCTCTCATTTGGACCGCGTTAAACAGAAAGGAACCAAGCCACATCAGCCATTGCCAAATTTGACAGGGGAATCTGATTTTTTACGAGAGAACGTTTGTGCGGATTCTTTTGACAATTTTAAGGAATTTGCTTAGTATTATGGAGAAAATTCATAGAAATTTGCACAAAAATCCGCACAACCGTTTTCATGTAAAAAATTAAATTGCCCAATTAAATTTGGCAATAGCTGATGTGGCTTGATTCCTTTCTGTTTGACGCGGTCCATTTGTCCAATCTCCCTATGGGCGGGAGCAATTGGACCAATTAGAATCGTAAGAAAAAAATCATCATTTGTTTCAAATTTCACGCTAAGACTTAAACGGAACGGAGCGTTTCGTTGTTTTCGGATATTACAGTCCGTGGCAACGGAGCGTTCCTTCGATTCACTTACTGTACCCTACTGACAGATCAAAATTCAATATTTTTCGCTTTGTTCCGATTGAGCACAGGGGAGAATTTCATGAGCCGCCGCTCGCGGCGCACTATGGTCCAAAACTCAAGAATATAGGAAGAAATAAGTCGGATAATGACTGAAAGATCACGAAAGTTTCGTAACAGCTGTTTTTTGAGTCGCTAATTTCGAATTTGATATCAAATTGCCAATATTTTAACACCCTGACCTATTAATTGTGACAAGTCTAGGGCACGCTGCGGCGCGGCGCGCGGCGTGCTGCTAGCTCGAAACGCCCATTGGCGCCTGCAAACCTACAGGGTGTAGGTTTGTAGACGACAGTGCGCGTTCCGCGCAGGCAGCACGCCGCGCCGTAGGCGAGTGAAGAACGCATTCTAGCGGGGAGAGCTCCCTGTCGGAGAAACTCGTACATCGTATAATTTTTTTGTTGTTTAATTTTCGACTTTTAAAATTACACACTGGTCGTGTGAAGTAATTAGTGAACCCTCAACGCTAGATGAAAATTATAAACACTGGAAAAAAAGAAAAGAAAAGAAAAAAAAACACATTGGATCTAGAGTCCAGACTCTTAAAAAGATCGACAAGAAAAAGTACGAGGTACGAGGTACCTAACTTAGGTTAGAGGACAAAATTATGTTCCAGTCCAATTATCACATCCAAACAACCTTCATATTTCCTTCCTGAACAGACGATGAGAGATTCCTCTGCGGATAGGGCAGCAGTGCAGTGGCGAGGCGTGCTTTGCGATACATCGATTGATTTGTCATTTAAACCTACGGAATAGGATCTACAAACAGGGTGTTTGCAGCGAACATCTTAATAATCGATTCAAAGAGCTGCAAGGGGAAAAATTTATAATGGATCATTCACACATCTCGCCACTGGGCGGAAATTGTGTAAGGGTGCTTCCAGATGCACACCGGCTTTATTATCAACGATGCGAAATCTTGTAGGGGGCGGAGTTTGTCAAGCGCTGGGAAAACTTGGACAATAAACTGACGACCTCTAACTTAATTTAGTTTTATTTTCATATCGTTGTTATTTTTTTAGGATGAATATATGGCGCGCAAAAATCATGTTTCCTCTCTCCTTGATGTAACAATGTATGTCAATATGCGGAAATCGAAATAAATGATAATTACTTCAGCGCGTCGGAAAATAACAAATTGACACATGAGCCAAATGTGTACAATTATGAGATCGACGACAGCTGCGACAATCTTCGAAACAGTGAGAACCGAATGAGCGCGGCGTTATGAGGGCGTTAGAAGCGGGCACGGAAGTAGAGATAGAGGTTTGAAATTTTAATTAATGGCGCTAGGATTTGTAACAATTCCTTCAAACATGAAATTGCTTCTAGGAGCTTGCGCATCGACTATGGATCATTCAAATCAGTTGAGGATTGAAATAAATCACCGTGGTGACTGGTGAAGTGAATGAAGGGACATAACGACTGAGGATAGTCAATCAGGGTTTGAAGATGGGCGGAGTACCAAGACAAGTTTGCGTCGATGCGAATAATTCATTGATGCAATTTCCATGTTCTGAGGTGAGAGGATGAGACACGAATTGGCGCGAAGAGAAGACCCTGTGGGTATTCAAGGTTCTGCAGAATGTATGATTGAATGTATGGTTTGACACAAGCTATCCCTCAGCTTGGATTTTACAGGTAAGATTTGAAAACCAGTTCAAGTTCTGAAATAGTCCATCTATTTTCAATTGCACGCAAAAAAAACTAGATGACACTGCCATTCGTTCTTAGCAAAGAGAGCTTCAGGCAGAACTATGAGCAAAGGCCATGTATCGGTCGTTTTTTGAGGGAGAGAAGGCTGGTAAACATTTTCGAGATCATTAAGGACAGTGAGGTCATCTAAAGATTATCACCTGTCGATGGTCGAAGTATAATGGTGGTCTGGGAGAGAATGGGCCTGTTGCGAACTTTTGCTACAGCGAAAATAAGAGGTGTTCGTATCAGTAATTGTATCAAAAATGACAATGAGCATATTGGCAAAGTTTGAAATGCACTCCTAACTTCACAATCTGCGTGAAAAATTTGCGTTTTTTGAGCTTCCCGCTTGAAAAACGGTTCTACGGCACAGGGGAACATTTTGTTAGAGGAGTCGTTCCATTCAACCCTTTCGCAATAGCAATACCCAAAATAGCCGGTGCTTCCGCGCGCAAATCGCAATCGGGAGCACAAGGTCAACCAAAGCGGATCTTTTTATTTGATCAACGCGAAGAAATCGTGAATGTAAGCACTCTGGGTTGTAATTAACAAATGGTTAGAATGTCGTCCAGGCACATGTGTTTTGGCGGATTGGTGTCGACCATTTTGAATATTGTGTTGTGTCCTATTCCCAGTGCACAGGGGTTGGATAGAACGACACCTCTAACGAAATGTTCACCTGTGCCGTCGTATCGTTTTTGAAGCGGGGAGATCAAAAAAACGCAAATTTCTGAAGTACATTGTGAATTTGGGAGTGCATTTCAAATTTTACTAATGCGCTCATCGCGATTTTTGAGACATTTACTAATAGAGAGAACTTTTATTTTTGCTCTAGCAGCATTAAGTTTGTAATAGGTTCATTATTATTTTTACAGTTTGTTTTCTCATCAATCATAGGATATTTGGAGAAAATAGGGCTAGCTTCAAAATCGATTCGCGGAGATTAACATGTTGGGCAAGGGTGGCGGACAGACAACCCACAACGTAAATCCTGAGGTAGAAACTACTGATGCACGGAAGTTTGGAGGATGTGTTTTGGCTTGTCTCGAATTTGAAGGCGAAACAGCAACGAGCGGGATTTAATCTCCCTGTAAGTTTGCTTTTTTATTCCTTTTGAGCCGTCACTGAATCGATAGGCCGTACTCTATTAGTCAGCATGAGGTAAGTTTCCTCCCGAAAATGAGGCCATTTATCTCGTAACAAGCTTTTGCTGGCGGGTGGCATGGCATGGCGCCACCACTCACCAGGAGTCGACGGATGATAGATTCGGTGATAACAGCGGTGTTGGTCGTGCCAATACTGCCGTCTTAACGAAAAACGACGTATGAGCCTTCAGAAGTTGCCAAATTTTCATTGATCAAACAAAACTTTTCTCAGTAACTTATGTATATTTTTATTTCAATTTTTCAGAGAATTTTACTTACAATTTGATATAAAGTATCTGAAAATGTCAAGGAAAAATATTCACAACTTTTCTTTGAAATCCATATTTTGTCGACAAAAATTTGGCAACGTCCAAGAGTCCATGCGGTGTTTCTCCTCAGCGCGGCAGATTAGGACTCATCATCCGATTAAATAATAATTTGGAGGTTAATGATAATGACTTTGATCAGCTACTCAATTAGAAACTGCATAGCTGTTACATCCTTTGTCTAGGATTGCTACAAGGCTGCGCGATTAATTCAATTCAACAAATTCTGATCGGGAGTTGCATAGCGCCCTTCAGCTATTACTGGGAGACGATTGAGGCGATTCGTCCCAGACTCAGAGACGGAAAATTCCACGAAACCTTAAAAATTTCATTGGCGCGCGCATCCGATACATCCATGCTCGAGCTTTCAAATTTTCAGGGATTAAGGTCGAGTAGAATCTGTACATTTAATTTAATATTTTGAATAGGTATTGTTTGTTTTGTTTGTAGGAGCTCGCCTCAAGAGCAAGCGCCAACGTTTCTACCGTTGTGGATCCTTGATCCATGGCGCTCGACTGATTAGAGCCACGCTGAGCATTTCCACACAACGATTATCACACTTTTCATCGGCTATTTCCCAGCGGTTACGTCAGCCAGCAACTGCGCGGACAGTGTGACACAACACCGATGTTGTTGGAATGTGACGCAGATTATTGCCATTTTCTCACTCGCGATTCAATTAATTATGTGATGAGACTGTTGAGTAGTTGGATTGAATACGATGAAGCTAACACGGACAAAAGCGAATTACTGCTCTTACAATCCGCATGCCATTAAGAGAAAAATGACACATCAGTTCGGTGAATACGGGAAAGGGAACAATAAAGTCATAGAGAGAAAAAAAAGGAGGTATTTGCATCTTGAGGATTGTGTACCCTTCCGTACAACCTGGTCAGCAAAATCCGGAATTCGGAGTATGAAAAACGGACCACAACGTCCGATTTTTTTGCTTCAATCAACTCATGATATCATTTCAATATGCACTATATGTAGAGTGAATTTTTTCCATAAAATACACCATTTCCAAGAATATCGATGATAAAAGTCGCCGTACCGACCTACGTCATCAAAAAAAGTCGAAGATGCCGGAAATGCAAACGCCTCCTTTTTTTTCTCTATGACAAAAAGTAACATAAGCTTTCGATAGATTCTGGGTTTCCCAATTTTCCCGTTATTCTTTGTGCTGAATTCAACGCAAGCTGTACCGGGGTCTACACACA